ATTTTGAGTAGGGGTCTGTGGTGATGGAGGACCCCTTGCAATTTTTTAAAAAATTGTAAATGTTTTCCCTTGGAAAATATAACAACAGTACAACGAGTATGGGTCTATGATGAGTGAGTATATATATCTAAAATGGGATTGGTGTGAAAGTAGTTTTGAAATCAGTCTTTGTGTAAGATTTTTCGTGAAATTCCATGATTTGTAAGTCGTGACATTCAAGGACGGTGGCCTTTTAAAAATACTTAGATTTCCTCACCTGAGTCTCTTAGGAGTGATTGAGCTGGGAAAATGTCTGAGAATGTTTTTTTATTTGGAATTGTTGAAATGTTGTAATCCCATGGTGCGAGATCTGTATAAAGGTAGAGCTTGTTAGGTTTCAGGGACTTTAACTAGACTTCTGAAAAAATTCTGAAAAAATGAAACAGAATTCTGTCCCTATATGTTTGTGCTTTGATCATAGTCCTGGTTCTGGATGTCCATTGCCCCATTACTAACTGCCCCATTACTAACTGCCCCATTACTAACTGCCCCATTACTAACTGTGGTGTTGTTCCCATTTTTTCCTGGTTGTTACATTCCCATTTTACCAACTAAAAGTGTTAAAAAATGTAACATTTTCATGATATGCAAAGATTCTCAACTGGGTGTGAGGTAATTTTCAAATTGTTGAAAGGGTTCCTAGTTGTGTCAATGTAAAGGTTACCAGTATCATTTAATGATTTAGTTTCAATAAAATCAGGTCCCCCTGTTTTTTCTGATAAACTTGAACTTTCTTGATTCACTTTAGATTATTTTATTTTTGTAGAGCATGAATTTGTCCATTCCCATACTTTATTTGATTGATATAGTTTGTATATTATCTTCCCCCAGGTGAAATTCTTAGAAGTTCTCATTCCATTCAATTTCTTGCAGACGGATTCAAGGTGGTCAACATATTTTATCCTATTACACAAAAATAATTGAATGAATTGACTGAAACGTTTTCATTTCCATACAATTCAGAGTATGATCTCATTACATGTTCAAGCCATATCTTTGGTACTTATCTAGTTCTTTTGTATTTTGCAAAACAAATGCACAGCATGCATTTTAAACTTTTAAGTCTTTGAATCTCTGTGTGTGTGTGTGATATCCCCAAGGAATATTGTATAGACCACCTGTATGAACAATTTAAGTCTTTGTTGTATCAAATTCATCAAATTACACGGAAAATGGCCACAAATACATTAACTGTTCATTGGTTTGCATTTCCTGATGGACTTAATTCTAACTGATTTATCTGTATCAGACTTAATATTTTGAACATTTTCACACCTGTGTTAATTTTCCAGCTTGGGAAAAGTACAATGATTTACTTCAGTGTGAACATGTTTAGAACATTTACAACTATGATTCCCTGAAGGAGCTGATTGTGTATGATTGTGCTTTTTAGTTGGGCAATTTTGTGATTGTGTTCTTAGGTTGAGCAATATATCACAATTGTGGTTTTGGGTTGTGCAATATTCTGTTCACATTTCAAGAATGTTTAACGTGACAGTCTAAATCTATGGTAGATATAAAAATTGGACTTGCTACTGGGTTGACTTTAATATGTTAAATCTGAAATAACTACTGTATATAGATCAAGAGGTGAACTACAAGCAGTGAATGATACCATCTCTTGTAACAATATTGTTATATATAGTATCATTTCTTGTTATATAAACTTCAAGTGCATTTAGTAACAACATTTGATAAGCTTTACATGTTGTGCTGAGACACTTCCTAAACAATATAAAGAATCCTCTAGTTAGACCAGTTTTGAGACACCCAAAATAAACTAGACTTTGGAAGATTGCAAGCAATCTCACGGAGGCCCTCTTAGGCATTTTTGACAATTTGAAGGTCAACTAAAGGACAAATATCAAATCTGAGGTCAGATGTGAACTCCTGAGAACTTGTAGATGATTTTCAAAAAGAAATTTTGTCAATTTGAAGCGAGTTTAAATTTGACCTTGAAAAATTTCAAAATTGACCTTTTTTCAGCTTTTGAACTCTTATATCTCAAACTGGGACAAAATTCCATTAGATAGTCAATTGCTAATATGTGTAGAACCCTTAGAGGAATGTGTATATTTCGACTTCGGATTAAAAATATTGGTTTGTAGTCTCGAACTTTGCGAAACTTAGATAGCACAGTTTGTGACCTAATTCCATGATCTTGACCTTTGACCCTGAAAAGTTTTACTTTTTTAGACCTCAGTAGGTCTTTTGTAATTAGGCTGACCTAAATTTGAATCCGAAGACTCAATTTGAGAAATCAACTTTTTTTACCTTTCGAGGGTCATTGAAGGTCAACTAAAGGTCAAAGGTTAAATCTGAGGTCAGATTTGGACTCCTAGAAAATTGTAGATGATTTTTTAAAAAAAAATTTGGTCAGATTGAAGCAAGTTGAAAAATGACCTTTTTTGACCGTTTTTGACGTAAAATATCTCAAAAATGGTAAAAATTTAATGCTGACATATTGTGAACAATTTGTAGAGAATACTAAAATGTAGTTTCAGTTTAATTCATCGCAAGAAATAATGAAGTATAAGGACAAACTTGAGAAACTTGAAAAAAATTTAGATTTGACCTAGATTTTGACCTTTGACCTAATTTGATAACCGTGACCCTTGACCTTGAAAATTTTACTGCTTTAGAGCTCAGTAGGTATTTTATGATCAGGCTAACCCTAAATTTGAATCCAAAAACTCAATTTGAAAAATCAACTTTTCTGACCTTTCGAAGGTCACTGAAGGTCACCTAAAGGTCAAATGTCAAATCTGAGGTTATATATGAACTCCTGAGAAGTTGTAGATGATTTTTAAAAAAAAGTTGGGTGAATGTGAAGAAAGTTAAAATTTGACCTTATAAACTTTGAAAAAGTGACCTTTTTCAGTTTTTGAGCTCTTATATCTTAAAACTGGGACAAAATTTTTAAAAATAGTCAATAGCTAATATGTGTAGAACCCTTAGAGGAATGTATATCTTGACTTTCAATTAAAAATATTGATTTGTAGTCAAAAACTTTGAGAAATTTAGAAAACACAGTTTGTGATCTTGTTTGATGACCTTGACCTTTGACCTTGAAAATTTTACTTTTTTAGACCTCAGTATATCTTTTCTGATTGAATAAACCTAAATTTGAATTCAAAAAATCAATTTGAAAAATCAACTTTTTGACCTTTCGAAGGTCACTGAAGGTCAACCAAAGGTCATAGGTCAAAACCAAGGTCAGATTTGAGTTCCTGAGATCTTGTAGATGCTTTTTAAAAAAGAGTTTGCTCAATTTAGAGCAAGTTGAAATTTGACCTTTAAAAATTTCGAAATTTGACCTTTTTTCAGTTTTTGAGTTCTAATATCTCAAAACTGGAGCAAAATTTTAATAAATAGTCAATTGCTAATATATGTAGAACCTTTAGAGGAATATATATTCTGACTTTCAGTAAAAAAAATTGATTTGTAGTCTCCAATTTTGAGAAACTTAGAAAACACAGTTTATGATTTCGTTTGATGACCTTGACCTTTGACCTTGCAAATTTTACTTTTTTAGACCTCAGAAGGTCTTTTGTGAATAAATATACCGAAATTTGAATCCAGAAAATCGATTTGAAAAATCAACTTTTTTGACCTTCCGGAGGTCACTGAAGGTCAACCAAAGGTCAAAGGTCAAAAGTAAGGTCAGATTTGGAATTCTGAGAATTTGTAGATGAGTTTTAAAAAAAAAATTGGTCAATTTGAAGCAAGTTGAAAAAAGACCTTTTTCGACCTTTTTTGACCTTCAATATCTCAAAATCTAGGCAAAATTTATCCAGACGGCAAAAGGCTAAGACTAATAGAATACTAATATCTATCTGTATGCAAAAATTCAGCTAAAAATAATGAAGTGTAGTGTCAGGATTTGAGAAACTTGAAAAAAACTTAGATTTGACCTAGATTTTGACCTTTGACCTTGACCTAGATAAAAATTTATTTCCCCCCAATTTCAGCCGAGGTTCCTAGTAGGAGCATATAGTAAGTAGTTGAAAGCTAGTTGGAAGTAGGAGAAAAATGCTTTGATAGAATAAGAATAATAAGAATAAATAAAGAAAACCTACAAAAGCTATAGGAGGCCCTTTCAGGAGGGCCTCCTAATAAAGTTTTCAAATCAATTGTTAATCCCTTTTCCTAGAGTATTAAAAGAGCTACTCCAAATAAAATGTTTCTTTGGGTTAGTCTCGCATGTAGTCTAGCACTGAGCTTCTGTGTTACTTCTCCTCCTTTTTCATTTCTCTAAAATATTGGGGAATATTTAGTTTTGGTGTCTTGCAAAGACTTGGTTCAAGATCAGTTTGTATTTTTGTATCCTAACAGGTAGAAGGTAGAAGCTTTTGCATTTGGTTTTTATATTCGAAGGAAACTTCCAAAATAAGGTCCAGATGCTCGGTAGTTCAAGCTAGTAAACCTACAGAAATAATTGGTGTTCTTTGCTTGTACATCAAACATAGATCTGTACACTAGAATAACATTCAAAAGATCATTGATCCATTCTCCAGAGTCTGTTGAGGGATTATTTTCTAAGTGATCTTAGATCTGGTACAGTGGTGAGGTGTAAAAAGAACATTACATATCTCACATTTCAATGAGATTACTACACTAAAGAAATAACAGTCCCATTGTTTATTGAAACAGTACTTAGGGTCATTTAATAAATCAAATCAATTTAACCAATCAACCTGATGAACAATCAATCCTTGGTTTAATAGAATCAATTGAACCAGTTATAAACAATATGATTCAATCAACTATATGAACAATCAATCATCCCACCAACTGATAAATTGATCAACTATAGGTACAATATCAACACCCGAAACAGTCAAGCAATCAATCAATCATTCAAACAACCAATCAATCAAATAAACGATCTTACTGTATCTACATTAAAGTACTACTGCAATATTATTAAATATTTAACATCTTGTTCTTTCTACTTACAGCTCAAGATTGTGTCCTTGGAGAATGGGGTGAATATTCAGAGTGCGACAGAACATGCGGAATGGGTACATCTATCAGAAAGCGTCCTATCTTAGTACCAACTAAAAACGGTGGTAAAGAGTGTGATGCCCGTATCCAAAAACGAACTTGCTTCGGACGAAGATGTAAAACCCAAAGAGGTCTCAGACACAAAGTACAGAGAGGTAAGTACTGTGACATCATAATTTAGTGCTGTGATGTCATCATTTTGTGGTATGATGTCATCATTTTGTATATGAATATTTCTACCATGTCTTTAGCAAATATGTTTCTCAGATTATTTGTATCTGCCACGCTAAGCTCTCATTGGCTTTCTTAAGAGGGAAATCATTGACAAGACAAATATTTTTAGGGTTGGTGGTGTTCATTTTATTGAGTTGACATCCCTCCATCCAAAAATGTTATTACAAAACTTGGATGAGATCATTAAGTTTATTATAGGATCATTGGAAAATACTAAGATTACATAATTCACTAGCTCAGTTTCTCATTGCTAAATGATGTTTTCGCCCACCAAATACTCTACTGTGAGTGTCAAAACTATGAGATCATATGGCACCACTCTTCAATTACAGTAGCATAGTGCCTGGTTTCAAATTGATATTCCAGCTCACAGAATACTATTCCAGAAGTGTGGAAAACTATGATTCACCATGTAATACTCTAAAGCAGCTGCTCAATTCTGCAAGTTTTTTTCGAAAGTTGCATGAATGCTTTCCCGATTAGTGGAATGATCGACCAGCCGACCATTTTAGTTTGCGATAACCTTACGTGGTACCTGACATGTTATTCAGCAAACAAGGTTAAAAATATAAGGAGTTTAGCTTTGCAAATATTGTGCTAGCTGTCCCAGATGATTTACGATCATTATATAGTATTGTGACACTTTTCAAGTGTCATTCCCAGGGGTTATTTGTCAGATTGTGTGTTTTAAGTAATTTCCAGTAAATCTTACATAAAACCCCTGTGTACCCCCCCCCCACCCCTTAGGGAGATATTATCTGCCCATTTTTGGCATATCTTCTTCTTTATTTGTTATTTTATTGGTATGATTAGCTTGTGTTTTCAAAGGGAGCTCAGTTTCAGGATAAAATAGAATTTAATCCAGTGTAATTGCCCATTTATCTTATCCTATAGATGATCAAGATTAAGAGTTTGATTTAAACATTTTGAGGGGAAAAATAATAGGATTGTTCCTGATTTTGCTTTTTTGTCTACATATGTTTTCAATCTTGTTTCCTGATGGAGGAAACATACTCTCTTGGATAGACCCTTTTTGTTAATGTTTCAGTAGTGCTTCTTATGTTTCATCTGATTTTTCTACTAGGTAATTATCATAAGGAAGGTATCAACTTGAAGGAACAGTTTTCACCTATTATAATAAGTTCCTGGTAATCAAAATTGAAAAAAAATCAGCTTATTGTTCATGATGTCATGCCTTTTCCATGCTGCTTCCCCTGAATTTTGAACTGCCTCATTTCCTGACTTTTCTATACAATTTTGAGTTTCTCTATATGTCTGTTTACTTTTTTACTTGGTGATTCTAATCTTTTACATTTTTTCTTTTAAAAATAAACAAAACAGCCATGATATTTTCTTACAAGCTATATGACCACCCAATATAGAGCATTGACTCAGGTCCAGGTTTTAAATAGGACGAGTTGGATCCTATATGTTCTATTTTAGTCGGAAAATGTATTTTTGTACAATGCAGCTTGTTCAATTAGCAGTATGGATCCTTCTCAGGTATAATGAGTCCGTTTTCTATTTTCGCAATTAAGGCTACATTTCATTTTAATCCCAAACTGGGAGTATAGATATATTTTCAAGGACAAGTTTAAAAAACAGTAAAACATTTATTGCTCCTATCATTTAAAAACGTGACGTTTTGATCCCAATAAAACTCAAGTTGAAAATACAAATTATTTTGAAGGGCATGTATGTTTCTTTTTTGAACACTTTACACTAATTAAGCCAAAACAGTTTTTTCATGACATAGTATACGCCACACTAGTTGTCTGACAAACTGATTACGAACGTTCAAATCAATGAATTGTAAGTAGAAACACATAACTTGGTGTGTACAGACTGAACCCCCATAAACAATAAACAATGAAAATAGATCCAAAGAAACTTTTTAGTAATCACGATCATGTCATCTCATTTCTTCTCAGTTTAGTTAAAGATATAATGAGTATCAGAAAGCGGAAAAAAAATCAAAGTGTCTTTTATATCCTCTCTGGTATCATAACAAAGTCAGTGTCACCTCTGTAAAAAGTTTTTGTGTTCAGTATCTCTATATTTATTATTTTTTAGAGAACAAAAAAGGGTTAAATTAGCAAGACTTTGTTACTAATGTTTGTATTCATTTGAACTCAAAGTTGGCAATCAGTTTTGAGACACCTGTAGGTGTTCCAGTTTCATTTCCAACTGGGGCCCAGAGCTTTAATTTCTTGCCAGATTTTGACACCCTTTGTTACAATTTCAAAACAATAACATCTCCATGCAATTAATACATGACGAATGTTCTTTCCTGGTTAGAAAAGTGATGATGTTGCTATACAATTTCTACAACATCCTTCGATAACAGTAGCGTGTAACCTACATATGCCATGATTTGTCTCGATAATTACGAAAAACAATTGGAGATTCGATCGATCAATTTTAAGAAATTCATTAGCAATGATTGATTACTTGTTCATTGTAATGTTATCTTTGGTTGGTGATTTTCAGTAGTTTGACATGAGATGCTGACTTCGGAAATAATCTTACTTCGCCTTGACTTACTTTTGCTGTTTTGATAGCATTTTTTAGGAACAAATGAGACGAGTGGCTCTTGTACCCAAAAAACTAATGTTGATATTTTGAAAGTGTATACAAGGTGGCCAAAAACGGGTACAGTTTCTAGGCACCCCCTAGGGTAATTGATGTTCAGTGTACTTTTGATGGATTCACTGGGGGTTAAGAAACCTTTAGTAAACTAAGGGAAATCATTTTGTTTTCTTTAGTAGTCATAGAACTTTGAAAGTACATGTATGTCTAAGAATCAACATGTCCATCTTGATGTAAAGATAAAGAACAATCAACCAAGCAAACAAACAAACAAACAAACAAACAACAGCAAAAAACAAAGTCAAAGTATGTTGGTGTTCTCGTTTGACATCAAAAGATGTAAGCTTGATACCAAAGGTATAATTATAACCCAGACTCAGTTAGATTAAAAAGTATATAAGTATATATTAATATACTTTATACTTTTGAAGTATGTTATTTCCCAATATACCAATTTTCCCTACTGTGCATACTGTGTGGTATATGCTAGTTCAATTGCTTCATAGGCAAAAATCAGTGGTACACAAAAAATGAAATTATACAGTGTATATGTATTTATATTTAAATCCACATCAATCTTTCTAAAATTTAATGAAGATGATATAAAGTTTGCTTGTTTTTCTCTACAATATTAAATACCTCAGCTTAATGCCTATTGAGTTTATTCCTTGCTAATTCCACTCTTTTTGAGTTTACGTTCAATTTTGAACCATGTTGTTTTTGAATTTCGTTTACAGGTGCTACAAATTAGAGATCTTTTCACACCATGTTAAAATATAACTTAACATCTTACTTATATTTTTGCAATATGATATCATGATTTGAAGGTGATGAAAATGCCCTGTGATTTATCTATAGGGTGATGTAACACAAAAAGATGGTTATTTACATCATGTTTTGAGATAAAAAAGAATGGTATAGAGTGAAATTGGGGAGAAATAAAGTAAACAGGTACAACATTTTAAAATGCTGTTTCGTATTGTCATAACAAGGAAAATGTTATTTCCGAAATACATGTACTGATAATGCCCCCCCCCCGCAACAGCCCTTCCACAACAGTTCCCAAATATGACATAATTTTTCTCAATGAAAAAGCTGAAATAAATTGTACTTTACGTCCTTGTCGTGAAAATGATGCACGGTTATAAGTATGTATTTGTACGCTCAAATTATGATTTAACTTTGATGTTAAATTGATTGAACATCAGATGTTACTTATCAAATTATAACTATGTTTTCAAACACTGATCACTAGGTAACGCAGACGGAGGTCAACATGACCTTATGGTTCAATGATTTTTGATTGACTGATTTTTAAAAAAAAATCCGAAAATTAAATCTGCTTTTCTTTGTTGTATGATAAAATATGACATATGCCAAGGAGTTGAGATGATGTAGCTTTATGGCGTGATTTAACTCACATACAACGAGCAATTGATTTGGATAGGTACATTTGAAAAATACTACTACCAGATTTTATTACAAGTAGTTCTCACCTTATGTATATTACGAAATAACCAATTTGGAATTTTATCACGATCCTTCAATTAGTAGCAACAATAGTCTAGGTACAATAAATATTGTTCAACCAATAGGCATATATTGTTCAAGAGTTCTCGAATCAATGAGCATTATCTCAAGTAAAAATACAAATAAAAACATGCTAAAATTACAGTTTTATTTATTCATTTGTTGACCCAATAAATGTCTGATATTATTTATGTCTGATATTATTTAGAGTGGATACTTGAGTCTCGATCCTTCCTTTGCCTTACATGTTCTAGCTATTGGTAAATTGACCGTCTGCTCATGTATATTTCGCAGGATTACTCTGAAAAATTTGATTGAATAGTCTGATTTTATGACATTTTTATACAATTTGGAGTATTAACTTCATATTTGGATAATTTTGCTAATTCCATTGGTTTTCATGTTATTTACATTTGAAAACATGACATGTGCACTTTTAGGGTTGTGATATAGTTATTTGAGGACACATGGGTGTTTTTGTTTTCTCTTGTCTTTTGTAATATGTGAAAGTGGGTATCACTTATAAACAGATACATCAATAGATAATTGATAACAGTGTTTTAATTGGGTTAAATGTCCTATAAAATTAACTCTGAAAATGACCCTTATTGATAAAAGCATTATGAAAACAGTTTTTCCAAACAGAGATTTGAAAGCGAGCCACATTCATTCTATAACTCACAAAATATCTCAAATATTAAGAATATTTAAACCAAAAAAGGCCATCAATTAAGATAATATGCTAATGACTCTCATTTTCATATTTGCAGGATCTGGCCGAGCCATTCTCTGGTCTCTATCC